GGTAGCTGTTTTTTTTTTTTTTTTTTTTTTTTTTAACAGAGATTGGAGCTTAGCTATGAGCATTAAGATCAATTAATTCATGGATGAGCTACTTTAACTCCATTCACTGTTTAATTTCATGATTATTTTTTTCCCCGTAAATTGCTCTTTTCTTGCCTGGAATGGGCATGTAACTGTTGGAAAGTCTTAATATTATATCTCACAAAATGTTAATTTATCTCTTCAAGTCTTGTCTCCATTCCCTACTGTCGTCAGTTGACCGCCCATTGAAATCTAGAAGGATCATTGGCCTGAAGCTAGTGGTATTTGAGCCCTGGTTCACACTGACGCGATGCGGAATTTGCAGCGTTTTCTGTGCGAATTCCACACCGCATCAGAATCGTACCCCATTCATGCGAACCGCTGCGGGTCTGTATGTTAAGTTAACCTCCCTGGCGGTATTCCCGAGTGTAGCTCGGGGTAAAATTTCAGTACCAAAAACGGTAACCCCGAGCTACACTCGGGCTCACCATGCGGCGCTGCTCAGGGATTCCCTGCAGCACTTACCTTGTCCTTCACTCCCACGATGCGTCCCCTGCAGCGTCCCCGGCCATCTCCTCCGGCCGATGCCCGGCATCCGGCTTCTGTGTTCCGGTCCCTGTGACGTTGGGACGTACGGGCACTGCCGGCGGCGGGAAATTTGAAAATTTAAAAAAAAGTCATTTTTTTCCTAACAAATTTTACATAGTAAAACATTGCTGTTTCAACCCATTTCACATACATTTTGTCCCGAGTGCTTTGTCCGGCGCCCTGCCTGCATTTTGTCTGTTCTTTCTTCCTGGAAACTGAGAAACGTCCATGGCGTCCAAAAAGCGTCCCTTTATGTCAAAAGCGGTTTTAGACCGGCTAGAGAACAGCGATAGTAAATCAGAACCACTTGCAGAATTGAGTGATAATGATTTGTAGCGGAAATTCCTCATCAGACACTGAAAACGATTCTGCGACTGAACTCAGCGATGTGCGAACTTGGCGCTCTATTTAAAATTTCAGTGTTTTTGGTTTGATTATATTATTGAATTAAATGTATTATTATTTTTTATGATTATTTATTAAATTATAATTTATGATTTCGTGTTTCAAATTTTTTCCTACCCGGGATGTTTGCTAGACTCTTGTTCGGACAGATTTCAGTGAGTTATTCCTAAAAATTACAGGCCTACAATATAAAACTACATATTTCCATGCAAAATAATGTAGCGCTTTCAGCACCAAAAATCTGAAATAATCATACCGCCAGGGAGGTTAACAACACCCCGAAAGCAGTCTGCAAAACGTGGTGCGATGTGCAGAATCGCATAGGTGTGAATACCCGTGCAATCCGATTCTAGTGCGGATCAAAAAAAAGCGTCCTGCACAATTTTGGTGCGATTAGAGCTATACAAAATGTATGGCTCGAATCACACCGCACAAAAATCGCATGTGATTTGCACAGGAATGAGGTGCGGTTCCTGTGCAAATCACATGCGATACGCCGCACTTGCATAGATGTGGACTCGGGCTTAAAGAGTGATAACTTGTGAAAATCCTATTCGATTGCCCCTCTTATATTCTGTTTGAGCTTGGCATGTTATCTGAAGGGAATATAGATTATCTTATCCTGTATGTGTTATGTAATTGTAAAAAAAAATTAATGATTTATTATTAGAAATGTAAATATTTATTACGGCCGATTAATGATAAGTGAAATGTGAACCTGTGCCCAGACTATGCACTTTAACCACTTCCAGTCCGGACACTTTTACCCCCTTCCTGTCCAGGCCAATTTTCAGCTTTCAGCGCTATCACACTTTGAATAACAATTGCGCGGTCATGCAACACTGTACCCATATGAATTTTTCAGCATTTTTTTTGAGACAGATAAAGCTTTATTTTGATGGTATTTATTCACCACTGGGATTTTTATTTTTTTTGCTATGTAAATGAAAAAGTCCACAAATTTTGAAAAAAAGTGTTTTTCTTATAAAAGTTTGCAAATAAATAGTATTTCATCATAAATCTTGGCCAAAATGTATTCCGTTTATTTTTTTTGTAAAAAGAAAAATAGCCTAAATTAGTTTATAACCAAAATTATAATTTTTAAACTTTTTTTTTTTTTTAGTGTTTTTTTATATTTTTATTTATTTTTTTACATACTGTCACCCTAGCAGTACAGTGTCACTATGGTGACACTGTAATACTTGTGGGGGGTGATGAAGATTTTTTTTTTTTTTTTTTTTACACTGATTGCTTTTACACTAATAAAGGCTGTAAAAACAATCATTTCTCTTTCTCTCTAGCTGCCTTCCTGCAGCCATTGAGAACTACTGAGTGTGCTGTGATTGGTCATAGCTTGTCACATGGTACAAGGCTGTTGTGAATAGCCTTGTACCATGTGACCTCTGTGATCATTCTTGCAAACTTACTAGTTTGCATGTGATCACTGATTGGCCAATCAGTAATCACATGATCGGGACCTCGAACAGACACAGCGGTCACATGATTGGGACCTCGGACACAGCGGGCACCGGATCGCGGTGCTGTGCGCTCCCAGGGAGTGCGCACAAGCAGGGTGCAGGGAGGCCATTTTATAAATGGCCACCCGACCCTGCACTGCCACCGTCCGGCCGTTTATATACAGTGGCCGGACGGGAGGTGGTTAAAGTATTGAAAAAGTAAAAAGTCAGCGCTTAGCGGGGGAAAAAAAACAAGAAGGGCAGCAGCTAGCAAAAAAGGTCAATAAACCAAACTTTAAAAAAGTTTACTTTTAAAGTGTTTACATTATTACATAGTTAGTCTGGCTGAAAAAAGACAAAAATCCATCTAGTTCAACCATAGAAAAAAAAAAGTTATAATCCTACACTCACAGTTGATCCAGAGGAAGGCAAAAAAAAATATTCACAACAAGCACTTGAAAATAGGCTCTGATTCACCTTTGTCACTATAGGCATTATGGAGAACTTCATCTGAAGCACAGCTGAAGAGAGGAATCAAAAGCATGAAAGTCCACTTACATTTAAAAGTGGAATTTCAAGCCAAACCTAACACCAATTCTAATTGGCATGTGTAAGAAAGGTCTGTATACTTACCTATTTTTAGGCCGCTCCAGTCCGGTCACGTGATTCACGTCACGTGATTTCTTGTGTCGACCAGCACTGGCTACAGGAGAATGCTTGACTACGGCTGGTAATGCCTGGGAGCGGTGACATCACCCATAGGCCCCTATGGCCCAGTCGCTGTTGGTGCTCTCAGCTCTCCTCCCCAGCTGCCACTAGCTGATAGAGGGGAACGAATCACATGACTGGACTGGGGTGGTCTGTAAGAAGATAAGTATACCGATCTTTCTTGCACGGGTAGGTCAGAACTGGTGTTAGGAGGGGGCAGGGAGCATTTTTAAGAGTAGTTAGGTTTTTGACTGGAACTCTTCTTTAACCCCTTCCCGCCTGGCCTATAGCAGAACGATGGCTGGGCAGGCCTTCCGTCCCTCCGGGTGGACATTATAGGACTTCCTCGCTGCTAGTGCGCACCACTGGGGGTACGCAGAGTGGCGATCGGGGGTGAGCTGTATCCCTCGGCCAATGATAGCAGCTCTTTAACACATGATCGGCTATGTCCAATCACAGCCGATCATCTGTTATCAACAAACAGCAGTGTTACTGGCCTCTCCTCCTCACACACAGGTCCTGTGTGCGGAGGAGAACACCGGAACAGTGGGTTGCTGTTTTTAACCCCTTCAGTACTGTGCCCTGATTGCCTGCTCAGCCCTGTACCTGTCACAGTAGCAACGTCATCAGTGTACCTGTCACAAAACACCCGTCGGTGCAGTGTACCTGTCAGTGTACCTGTCACTAAACACCCGTCAGTGCAGCCTGTCAGTGTACCTGTCACAAAAAACACCCGTCAGTGCAGCCTGTCAGTGTACCTGTCACAAAACACCCGTCGGTGCAGCCTGTCGGTGTTCCTGTCACAAAACACCCATCGGTGCAGCCTGTCGGTGTACCTGTCACAAAACACCCATCGGTGGTGCAGCCTGTCGGTGTACCTGTCACAGCTGCCCATCCGCGTACCTGTCACAAAACTCCCATCAGTGCAGCCTGTCAGTGTACCTGTCACAGCAGCAGTTATCAGTGCAGCCCATCCGTGTACCTGCCACAGCTGCCCATCAGTACAGCCTATCCTGCCCCTAGAATGCCTGAAGGTGTTCCTTGGATGTTGGGCCTCTCTCTGTGGCTAGACTGTGAAAAAGTCTCACACATGTGGTATACCCATACTCAGGAGGAGTAGAATGTATTTTGGGGTGTAATGACAAGTATGCCTATGCCATGTGTGAGAAATAATTAATTTCAACTTCAAAAACTTCGCCATGGCTCTTACTAAATACCTCGGACTGTCTACTTTCTAAAAAGGGGTCATTTGGTGGGTATTTGTACTGTCCTGGCATATTAGGGCCGTCTGTACATCAGGATTGATCAATTTTCAATGATCCGTACCATAGCTTGTAGACTTGCCTAGCTACCTAAGGCTACATTCACACCCATGCAGGTTGCAGTTGATATGCTTTCCTAGTGCATTTTGCCTTTTTTTTTTTTTTTTTTTTTACACCCTTTTTGAAACATTTTTTTATGCATTTTTGTTCTTTTTTTTTTTGGTAGGTGTCTGTTATGTGGGGAGAAACAGCAAAAACGCATCATAAACGCATGCACTTTTGATGCATTTAGATTGAAGTCTATAGGACCAAAAACCGCAAAAAATTCCCTGACCCTGTCCAGAAAACGCACAGATGGGAACATGACCCATAGGAAACCATGTTAAATAGACTGTATTGGGTTTCTGCAAAACTGAAAACGCACTTGCGTCAACCTAGCCCTAATGTGTTTTAGAAGCAAGTGATATATGTCCCTGCACTTTTTTTTTTTTTTTTTTTTTATAGAGGCCTTTAGAGATTCAGTTATATCTTGGTTTAATACTGAATTATGTTCTTTTTCAGAATTCCCAGTGTTTCTTCTTCAATGCAGAGCAAAGAGAGCAGCGTAAGGTGAGTATAGTATATGTACATTATATACTGATCACTTCAACATCAGGATTCAGACCTTCGTGTTAGACTTCCTGAATTAATCTGGATTTGTACACCATTTTTAAAAAAGTTTTGATAGAGTAGGGTTAGACCCTCTATCAAGGTTTTTGCTTGAAGATTTTCCCTCTCTATGTAAAGTTTTTTTTTTTTTATTTTTATTTTAATAATAAAAAATTTTTATTTTATTTCTGTTATTTTATTATATTTCTATATATTGTTGATTTGATTTATTTATTTTATTTGTTTTAATTTATTATTTTATTTTATTTGTATTTTATTTTTATTTTTTTTTTAATTAAATTTTTTGTTTTTGGAGTGTACACAATTTGTCACTGTATATTAGTTTATTAGAGTGATTTTGCATGATTCACGTGTTACAGTTGAATTTATTTTATATACCTTTTTTTTGCACATATATATAGTATATACTTATTTGTTTTGTAGGTATATACATATTATTTGAAGGTAATACACTATTTTAGTTTTATTTTTTCGAGGTAATCACTGGGTCCGGAATGTTGGAAATATTGAAGTTGGACACACAGGATTGAGAATTTTTGGTGCACTTGAAAATTTATTTTTGGGACTTTATTTAATTTTATGTTTTGATTTTTTAATTTTAGTTAAGGTTAAGAAAAAGGTTTTGAATATTAATACTGGATTTTTACACAATTTAAAAAAGTTTTGATAGAGTAGGGTTAGGCCCTCTATCAAGGTTTTTACCGTGGTCTTCCCATTGGGGAGATTTTTCCCCTCTATGTATTGGTCACCATTGCCACCAAGAGGGACAGTGAGGGAAAATTCAGCGTTTTAATGTTGTCCCTAGAGAAAAAGTTAAGTGGAAATTTCCAAAGGGGAGACCTGTTCCAGAGACAAATGTCTGGGAGTGGGATCCCCCTCATTGTAGAAATTTCCTCAAACTTCCTGCGGTGTCTTTTAAGCAGGAAGTAAAGAAAAATTTCTCCAGTGGTACACACAGTAAAATGATAACCTTGCAGGGGGGGGTTTTAAACCTTCCCTGTTCTATTCAAAGCAAACAAAAAAAAAAGTTGTATAGATGAACGTTAATGTAGAAAGCAAGGAATTGCAGCAGTGTAAAACTGTTGGCTTCTCAGGGGTAAAATCCAACAGGGAGTATGCCACCTCATGGACTTAACTATTTTATTTTCCGTTTTTTAATGAGGGCTGGGAGTACAACTATCACTATACTCCCAGCGCTCGGACAGGAGAGATGCGGCTGTTGTGTGACTGCCCCACCCCCACCCCCACTTTCTATTCCCCAAATACTTTGTATTTTGTGAATGGGTTCACAAATATAAAGCCTTCTGTAATTGGGGAAGGGAAGAAGACTGGCAAGAAGAGTGGCTGCATACAGCTCTGAAACCCTTAGGTCCAGCATCTATTGCTAGAGTAGCATTGGCTACATTCCTAGAGCTCAGTTAAAATGTAAATACAAGAGAAGTCCACGAGGTGGCATACATCTCATTGGGATTAACCCCTAACAAGCCAGCAGTTTTTTCTTTTTTTTTTTTTTCTTTTTTGTTTTTTTGTTTTTTGTTTTATTTGAAACTGCTGCAGTATTTTAAAACTGCTGGAAATCCTGAATTTACCCTTGAAGCTGACTGTGTTGCCTATTGCAAACAGCAGCTTTACCATTTTTTAAAAGGTAAATGGCAGCCCCCATGACAGATGTACTTAAAGGGTAGCTCCACTTTCGTGGAAAAAAAAAAAAAAGCAAAAAAAAATAATATAGTGTATACAATTGTGACACAATTCCTATTGTAATTGAATGTTTTTAAAAATGACCTTCTCTTTTTATTCTGCAGCACTGTAATTCTCTGAAAAATTGCAATGCAGTATGGCTACCTGGAGGATTTCTGTACACAGATGGTGTACAGAAGCCCCCCCCCCCATGTATCTCATTACCTGCTTGTGTGATTGGCTCATTGATTTTCCCAGAAGTCTGCGCCAAGATGCAAATTCAATTATAAACATCCCCTCCAACAAAGTCATTTTTGGTGAGATACACCCAAAGGGAAACACATTTAAAGGGGTGCAGACCCTGCCACTTTCCTTATTAGAGCCCTGCAGGTGCAGCAGCCGAATGATAATTACAAAACCATTCCCATACATGTTCACTGTGCACATGGACACAGACAAACAGCTTTTTCTGCAGAATAGCAAAAGGTAGGAATCTGCAACAAAGTTTGTTAAAATCCCTGCAATATACATCGATCACCCAGAGGGGGAATATATATTTTTTTTCTAAACAAAAGTGGGGTTACTATTCTTCCTAAAGACAGTACAAAGTGACAAAGTCCATTAGAGCCGATTCGATTTCAGTTCATTGAAGTCAGATGAGCAGATTTAGGTTGCCCTTGTCTATTGCTTTCTGCTTGTGGTCTTAATGAGGAATAATCAATACCATATGTACCCCAGTATGGGAAGTTAACGCCCACACTGAGGCTCCATGCGCACGGGGCGTTTTGAGAACGCTGGTAACGTTAGCTGTGTAGTCACGTTAAAAACGTGAGTTGTTCACCTTTTTTTAGCGTTTTTGCATTAGCAACGTTTTTCTGCGTTTTTTTGCATTTTTACCTTTTTAGGCCAAAAAAGGTCCAAAAACACCAGTTTGTGGCATTTTGCCGCATGTTTCAGCGATAGATGGTTTCTAGAGGAGTTTTTTAACTGTAAAAATGCACTACTTCTGTGTTTTTTTTTTTTTTTTTTTTTTCTCCAGCCAAAAAACGTCCCTGCCAAAAAAACGTTGATTCCAGTCTATGTGTGCATGGACACATAGGATAACATGCCGGGGGGTTTACTGGCTGTAGAAAAAAAACGTCAAAAGCCAAAAACAAGCTGCTGTAAAAACGTCAAGTGTGCAGGAGGACTTCCACCTCAATTTATAATATCTTTCCATGACCCCAACTATGGTTTCCTCCAGACGTCATTCCACCATGTTGTATGTTTTTATGACTGCTGTGTGATCTTTTGTATGCTTACTCTAGAGCAGTGGTTCTCAACCTTCCTAATGCCGTGACCCTTTAATACAGTTCCTCATGTTGTGGTGACCCCCAACCATAAAATTATTTACCCAGTAATTATAATTCATGAGTGTTGTTTTACCTCCAATACTGCTGCTTTCAACATAGTAGCTTTCTGCTTTCAACACAGTACACAGTAGCTGCTTTCAACACAGTAGCTGCTTTCAACACAGTAGCTGCTTTCAACACAGTAGCTGCTTTCAACACAGCAGCTGCTTTCTACACAGTAGCTGCTCTTTACACATCAGAAATATGTGTTTTCTGATGGTCTTAGGGGACCCCTGTGAAAGGGTCATTCGACCCCCAAAGGGGTCGCGACCCACAGGTTGAGAACCACTGCTCTAGAGTAATGTTCTCATTCCATTTAGTGAAGTGTAAGGTTCCCACTTCATCATTTGTAAGTAGTACAATACAATACATACTGTATAAAACTGTAGGAGTTTCTGTCTTTTAAATCTTTTAATTCCCAATCACTCTGAACTGTTCTTTCACTGCCTGTGATTTTCTCCACATTGACGTACAGCGCCAGGAACTGGAAGAGGTAATGAAAAAGCCGTAAGGTCTGTAGATGTAGATTGCAACCTTCCGTAGTGCTACGCTGAGACTAGAAAAAACGTCAAAAGCCAAAAACAGCTGCTGTAAAAACGTCCCGTGTGCATGAAGACTTATGCAGGTTATAGATGGGGAGAAAACCGACCGATTTTTCTTTAAAAAAAATGAAAAATCAGTTGTTCAATCGGACGACGTTACCAGGAATGGTGAAAAAAATCGACCGATTTTCATCCCGTCTACAGCCAGCAAAAAGTGTCCCTGCAGAGAGCTCCGCTATTTCTTTGACATTTATAGCGGTTGCAACAATGTATCTATTTGTATCCATTTCGGATACAGATGTTTTTATTCGGAAACAAATAGATACATTGTTGCAACTACTATAAATGTCAAGGAACTGTCAAAGAAATAGTGGAGCTCTCTGCAGGGACACTTTTTGCCTGATTGGAATTCTTCTTCTTCATCCTCTTCTTCTTCATCCTCTTCTTCTTCATCCTCTTCTTCTTCATCCTCTTCTTCTTCATTCTTCCTCTTCTTCTTCATCCTCTTCTTCTTCATCCTCTTCTTCTTCATCCTCTTCTTCATCTTCTTCATCCTCTTCATCCTCTTCATCTTCTTCATCCTCTTCTTCCTCTTCATCCTCTTCTTCCTCTTCATCCTCTTCTTCATCCTCTTCTCCTCTTCATCCTCTTCTTCATCCTCTTCTTCTCTTCATCCTCTTCTTCATCCTCTTCTTCAACATCCTCTTCTTCTTCTTCTTCATCATCCTCTTCTTCTTCTTCATCTTCTTCTTCTTCTTCATCTTCTTCTTCTTCTTCATCATCTTCTTCTTCATCATCTTCTTCTTCTTCTTCTTCATCATCCTCTTCTTCTTCTTCTTCATCATCCTCTTCTTCTTCTTCTTCTTCTTCATCCTCTTCTTCTTCTTCTTCATCCTCTTCTTCATCTTCTTCTTCTTCATCATCTTCATCTTCATCATCTTCTTCTTCATCATCCTTCATCTTCTTCTTCTTCTTCATCCTCCTCTTCTTCTTCTTCTTCTTCTTCTTCTTCTTCTTCTTCTTCTTCTTCTTCTTCTTCTTCTTCCTCCTCCTCCTCCTCCTCCTCCTCCTCCTCCTTCCTCCTCCTCCTCCTCCTCCTCCTCCTCCTCCTCTTCCTCTTCCTCTTACTCCTCTCCTCTTACTCCTCCTCTTCTTCTTCCTCTTCTTCTTCTTCATCTTCATCTTCTTCTTCTTCTTCTTCTTCTTCTTCTCTTCTTCATCTTCTTCCTCTTCTTCTTCTTCTTCCTCTTCTTCTTCTTCTTCTTCTTCTTCTTCTTCTTCTTCTTCTTCTTCTTCTTCTTCTTCTTCTTCATCTTCTTCATCTTCT